AATTATTTTGAATGTCTTCATTTGTATTTTCACATTTTTCATCGATTTTGATTGAAGTATCTTCAGTTTCTATTAATATAGTTGTTGATTTAATACTTTCCTCCTGATTTTCCAAATCCATTTCTTTATCTTTCTCAGATATTACAATTGTGGATTCTGTTGGAATTATCAAATTCTCTAATTGTAATTCATTAGGACACGCTACTTCTGAATTTATCATTTCACATTCTTCTTGATTTTTAAGTACAGTCCACTCCGATCCTCCACCCAATTTTCCCGGTGCAACTCCACCAATCGTAGTTTCTATTAATTTCGGCTTTACTTCTTCAATATTCTCTGCCGTTTTATACGATTTACCAAACGAAGACATCTGATCATACTTAATTTCTCTAACTTTACGCGCTTCTTCATTTGCAATCTCTTCGACGGTAGCATCCACAATCACTTCCTCTATCAATTTTCTGGGAGCATTGCTTGAAGACCTCGGAGAAAAATCGAAGATATTTTCGCGATAATTGGAGTAGTCCTCAGTGGTCTGCCTATCATTCATAAAGTTGTCCTCATCATCACTACTCTCTGAATCCGAAACAGATTCAGCGGATGAACTTGACCTATCTTCGTTTCTATTATTTGCAATGGGTTCAAGCAATTGTTGTTGTTGCTCATCTTCTATTCCTTCATAATAAATACCACGAACTCTGCCACCTTCTATAGACACAGCATCTGCTTCACTTTCAGAATCTTGAACTCTGACACCTTCTACAGATACAGCATCTGCTTCACTTTCAGAATCTTGAACTCTGACACCTTCCATGGACACATTCTCTGCTTCACTTTCAGAATCATGAACAGAAGTTCCAAATCCAGAATCCGGTTGCTGTTGAGCACGTCGACGATCCCTCATCTCGATCAAGGCTAAAATATCCTCACATTAAGACCAATTAATATTTCAAATATTTCACATTTATATAAACCGTTAACACTATTCATTATACGTTGCCGTTCCCGGTCAATCCATCTTTTCCTTTCGGCGCATTCTTCGGCTGATCCTCCACGTTCCCTAAAACAATGAAAAATGATTAAATTCCTAATTTTTTCAATATTACACCAATATTATACCAAGCTTCAGCGCAAGCCCGATCTCTTGGAAAAACAGGCCTATCATCCAAATAATGCAAATTTTTCTAAACAAAAAAGAGTAACTTTAAACAATTTACAATTTATAACAAGTTATATTACTCACGCATGCTAAAATCATGGTTTTTCTATATGAAGGTATTTTCCTTATGACCGGATTTCCCATTAGATTCAACACGCGCAAATTCTTCATTTCACCACAAACTGTCACAATAAGCGGATCGTCGATATGATTATTTGCCAAATCCAAAACCGAAAGTTCGTCCAAATTTGCCAACTCCTCGAATTCATCCAATGTTTCCACATAATTATTAGACAAATTCAAAGTATGCAATACTTTGTTATCGCCTTAAAGATCAAACAAATATATAAAACACATGTATCATAAAAAACACAAGATTTCCAAATGTAAATTATCAAATATCGCATAATATAACAACTGTGTCTACATGCAATACTTGCCAAATACATAACTGACATAATAAATCAATGAATTGTGATTTTTTTAACGTTTTCTCAAATTTAAACACTAATTACAGCCAAACCGATGAAACCACAACAATATATGAGTGCTCGTTACATTCCCCAAACATTCAACTTTCATATGCATCTTTTTAAACACTTTAAACACTAATTACAGCCAAACCTAAGAAACCACAATAATATATGAATACTC